CGGGACAGGCAGGGTGCCTCCTCTTGTGCCTATTCACACTGCCTGATGGGTGGGCCAGCTCTGGCATTAGGTCACAATGGCCAGCCACTCATCTTCAGGCAGGTGCCATCATAAGGTCACCAGAATGGCCAACTTGTCTCCTTCAGGCAGAGAGACCCTTGGTGTTGCTGATAATATCAGAAGAGAGCTTTGCTCTTCCATTATGCTATAGTAGTTGGCCATTGTGACCTCCTCCTGATGCCACCTACCGGAAGGAGAGAGACTGGCAACTGTGTTGATACCACAGTGCAGGGTAACAACCTACCTGAAAAAGACAGGTTGGCCATTATAGCTCTATTTAGCCATTGCTATTTATTGTAACACACCCACTTTCTTTGTGGCAGTTTATGAAGCTGAAATCTATTGCTTTAAAGGGGACCTACTGCCACTGGGAACGCGGGTGGCGCTGTGGGTTAAACCACAGAGCCTAGGGCTTGCAGATCAGAAGATCGGCGGTTCGAATCCCTGCAATGGGGTGAGCTCCCATTGCTCGGTCCTGCTCCTGCCAACCTAGCAGTTCGAAAGCACATCATACATGCTAGTAGATAAATAGGTACCACTCTGGTGGGAAGGTAAACGGCGTTTCCGTGCACTGCTCTGGTTCGCCAGAAGCGGCTTAGTCATGCTGGCCACATGACCTGGAAGCTGTACGCCGGCTCCCTCGGCCAATAAAGAAAGATGAGCGCTGCAACCCCAGAGTCAGCCACGACTGGACCTAATGGTCAGGGGTCCCTTTACCTTTACTGCCACCTACCCAAATATGTGAGAGATCCACACAAGTGCAACACCCCAAGTTAAGTGAAGAACAATCTGTTTCCCTTCACTTTCCTGTGGAATATACCCCCACTTCACCTATTATAATAGAGTGGTACCTCTGGTTACAAACTTAATTCGTTCTGGAGGTCCGTTCTTAACCTGAAACCTTTCTTAACCTGAGGTACCACTTTAGCTAATGGGGCCTTCTGCTGCCGCTGCCACATGATTTCTGTTCTCATCCTGAGGCAAAGTTCTTAACCCGAGGTACTACTTCTGGGTTAGCAGAGTCTGTAACCCAAAGTGTTTGTAACCTGAGGTGTTTGTAACCCGAGGTACCACTGTACTTACTTGTTGGTGTGTGTCACACCAGAATCCATGGCTTTCACTCTAAACAGTGGCACTACCTGGTATCATTTAGTAATGCAAAACATGTCATTGATTGGGAGTACAGCAAACATGTGATTGATTGAGTAGTACAGCAGATGCTTTCGATGCAAAAAGTCCCAGTTTTAGGTCCTGGCATCTCCAGGCAGAACTGGGGAAAGTCTCCTGTCTCAAATGCTGGAGAGCTACAATCAATCAGTGAAGATAATATTGCACAAGATGGACAAATGGTCTGAGACAGTATCAGGAGGCTATTTCTATGTGACTTCAGTTTCTCTGGCAAACAGCAAACTGCTGTAGAGGCAGGGAGACTAGCAACACAATATTATTACATCATGCATTTTTCATTATTAAAAGGCAGCAAGGAAAAGAGGAGGAGGAGCCTTTCAAGCATGTAAAGTAAGATAGAGAACTGCATTTCTGGTTTGAATTTTAAAATTTAGTTGAATGCAGCCATGAGTCAGCTTTGGTTTCTGTTTCAGCTGAATACTTTTACATATTGTTCCCCTTAAATATGAAAAGTCCTTAGCCATCAGAGAATATTCCCACAGAGATCCATGCCTACAGGCTGATTATTTTGTATGATTTATGAGCAGCATAGCACTGTGCTACTAAGGAAGATAGAATGAATGACCTAGAGAAACTTGCTTCTAAATATGTCCTCTGTGAAGATTTGGAATGTTTCACTACCTTGTAGTGCCAGGAAAGATCAAGAACCCTATAAAGGTCCCCCAATGATAATCAATATTTTCTCATGCAGTTGGATGGAATTCTAAAACTGAAGGGAGGCTATATTTGCTTCTCCACGATCTGCAAGGTTTAAAATAATTTACCCAATGTAACTAGAATTTAGTCACAGTTCAGTCTAAACGTGTTTTCTGTTTCAATCCACATAAGCTGTCCTCTCATTCTGAAAATGACAAGCACAGTAGGAAAAGGGTTGTTTTCAGTTGTGTTATTCTTACACATTTCTTTTTGTTCTCTTTAGTTTTTTAAAAATGTTCCTTGTGGTGACCAAGTAAATGGTTATATAAATCTGTAAATACATTTTTCTAAGCATGTCAGATTAGTTTAGGAATATATATTTACATATATAGATAACCATTCACAGATTAGCAGATTTCTATTCCAATACCAGAGCAGTTTCTCTTCTCCTCAAGCATTTATTCAGAGCGCCTTTTGGCAAGGCAGATGGCATAATCATTGACAGCTGGAAAGAGGCTGGCCATCATTAAAACAAACACTAAATACAAGCTTCTAGACAATTCCTGGAAATTAAAGCATGTAAGTAGAAGGAAGAATAGAACATGGGCATTGAAAATGACTAAACAGTTTATCCGTATTTCATGCCTTTGGGAGAGAAACTGATTTTTTTCCCTTTATAGAAGTGATATGCTTAAAGTGCATCTGAATTCAGGTAATCCTGCTTGTCAGTTACGGCAGAGACTGTGGATCTGATCTAGTCACTGCTGCACCCAGGCCTGGTGTCAGCACTTGGTATGGTTGGGAAACAACTGGAATCCAGGTGCCACGGTAGGGCTCTTGGGGGCTGATGCTTTGCCTGCTGAAACCTCGCCACCAGTCTCCACCTCCTCTGGGTGGTGGCAGAGGTGCTGTGATTGTCTGAAAAATACCCATGTGGTTGCCATATTCTATGCTCCACAATGCAAGGAATACCCACTGTCAGGCATTGCATTATGGGGCATGGCAGCTGCTTGAATCCTTTCCAGCAATTACAGTGCCACTGTTTCTAGCTAATCCTGCTAGTCCCGAGGAGGAGGAAGTGGTTGGCAGCAGCTCTAGGAATGCCACTACAGACAGTGGGCCCAAATGACAGCAAGGGGTGGTCTGTGCTGGCAGGTAACCCACAGAAAGTAGTAAGCAGAGGGTCCATCCAAGCCTGAGGCCGCACAGGAGTATTCAGCTAATCACTCCCTTGTCTATTCTAGGATTGCATGATGAGCCTTTCACACTGAAGGGATGGGGAGCACACCACAAAACACACCCACCCACCCCAAAATAAAATACCTGGTACTTTATCCTCCATTTGTATTAAGCTGTCAATATACATGTATTTGCACTATATAATATGTATACAAGCAGCTTAATAATGAGTTATCCTGGGTAAGATGGTGGAGTCAAAACAAATGGCCCAAACTACACAATACAGTAATATATGAACATATTTAAATGAAGAATATGCTTGGATCACAGTATGACAATATCAGTAATTTAAAATTGTTGCGAAACCGAAGAGCAGTACCCACCTTTGCAACTGATACATTCCCCAGTATCAATCCACAACACTTGCCTTTCATCAGGGATGGTATTTCTGCCCCACTGTGATGATTTGCCCTGAGGATATCTCTTTACTTCCTTCTACAGTGGTGCCCCACAAGACGAATGCCTCGCAAGACGGAAAACCCGCTAGACGAAAGGGTTTTCCGTTTCAGAGGCGCTTCGCAAGACGAATTTCCCTATGGGCTTGCTTCGCAAGACGAAAACGTCTTGCGAGTCTCGCCATTTCCCCCCCGCTTCCCCCCCTTTTCTAAGCCGTTAATAGCCTTTTAACAGCTTAGCCGCTAAGCCTTTAATAGCCGCTAAGCCGCTAAATCGCTAATAGCGCTAATCCACTTAGCCGCTAATGGGCTTGCTTCGCAAGACGAAAAAACCGCTAGACAAAGAGAATCGCGGAACGGATTCTTTTCGTCTTGCGAGGCACCACTGTATATAGGTAGGTAAAGGTGAAGGGACCCCTGACCATTCAGTCCAGTCGTGGACAACTCTGGGGTTGCATGCTCATCTTGCTTTACTGGCCGAGGGAGCCGGCGTTTGTCTGCAGGCAGCTTCTGGGTCATGTGGCCAGCATGACAAAGCTGCTTCTGGCAAACCAGAGCAGCGCATGGAAACACCGTTTACCTTCCCCCTGGAGCAGTACCTATTTATCTAATTGCACTTTGATGTGCTTTTGAACTACTAGGTTGGCAGGAGCAGGGACTGAGCAACGGGAGCTCACCCAGTTGTGGGATTCGAACCGCCAACCTTCTGATCAGCAAGCCCTAGGCTCTGTGGTTTAGACCACAGCGCCACCCGAGTCCCTTATATAGGTAAATAGGTAAAGGTAAAGGGACCCCTGACCAATCGTGACTGACTCTGGGGTTGCGACGCTCATCTCGCTTTATTAGCCGAGGGAGCCGGCGTACAGCTTCCGGGTCATGTGGCCAGCATGACTAAGCAACTTCTGGTGAACCAGAGCAGAGCACGGAAACGCCGTTTACCTTCCCGCCAGAGTGGTACCTACTTGCACTTTGACGTGCTTTCGAACTGCTAGGTTGGCAGGAGCAACGGGAGCTCACCTCGTTGCGGGGATTCGAACCGCCGACTTTCTGATCGGCAAGTCCTAGGCTCTGTGGTTTAACCCACAGCGCCACCTGTGTCCTGCCATATAGGTAAATAGTTGCTATTAATTCCTTTGGTGAAGAGGAAAGTGCTACACTTAAACTGCCCTTTATCTCTGTTACTGGGTGGCCTGTCCCACTAAAAGGGACCCTGGTTGTCTGGGTGTGACATGTTTATTTATTACAATCTGTGCACAGAACACACAGTGGTGCAGTTTTGACTTTTCTAAGTATCCAGTGCAGGACCAGCCAATCCTTGGACAAATACAGAGCCCAAAGATGCAGGCATCAGATCTCAGCTGTTGTTTCAAAATGACATCTTATTCAGAGCAGTCATTTGTTAATGTCCATTTGCATCCACAAAAGAAGGACACCCTCTGACAAAGGCAGATGTTTTGCAAATCAAATTATCTTATCTTGCAGGCAAAGATGACTCAGTTGCCAGAGGCAGAGAAAGAAAAGATAGCTGAGCAAGTGGCTGACTTTAAGAAAGTCAAGAGTAGACTTGATGCAGAGATTGAAATATGGGATGATACCAGCAATGACATCATCGTTCTGGCTAAACGGATGTGTGTGATTATGATGGAGATGACAGACTTCACAAGGTAATTATGCAGGATTTAAAATACATACATACATGCATACATAGAGCTAGAAGCAATTGTCACGTTCAGAGTGGAAAACACAAAAGAGTTTATAATGACAGATGACAAGTGAGTGTCACAACTAATAAAACTGAAAATTGAAGTATTCAGTGTGAAATACTGAAATGCCAAGCCGTTTAAACCATCACACTGTGCTTGCCTTTAGGGGAGAAAAAGTGATGTTTATCTTTGTCCTTTTTGTTTTCCTTTGATTTTACTTGAGGTTATTTTCTCTCGTTGATCCTTTTAGCACTGTTAAACAGTAAAGTGACATAATGGGATTGAAGTCCTGTGGTTATGAAATTACTCAGATAAAAACAGAAAAGCTCTTGAATGTGTACAGCATTTGTTCTTCATTGTGAACTTTGGGCCTATCTATGCTAGAAATTTACATGGTTTTACTACTTTAAATGTCACAGCTTCATCAAAGAATCATGGATATGATGATATGGAGAGGGAGTAGATCCAGGGATCCCTCCTAGATAACAACAATTCCCAGTGTTCTCTGGGAATGTTATAGGAATTTAAATTGGTGGTGTAATGCAGCATTTGTGTTTCTGTACTTATGTCTGAAATATTGGAATTTTCCATAATGCTTTCAGGGTTGGGTCTACTGGTCAGAGTGCATCCAGTATCCATTTTTGCAAACTACACCTTTGCAGGCATTTTATTACCATTTAGTCAACTTTTGGACAAAAAAGATTAAAGACCTAAAGAAAACTAAAAGAGTAATAATTATATTCTGGCTGGAAACTGAAACTATTGATAGAGACTACGAGATAGACATACAGCTGCACAGGGAAATCTCCCTTTTCCCGGATCACTGCAGCTCAGTGTTTAAGGCTATATCCCGGACTTGCTTCGTAACACATAATGGTAAGGATGCTGTGAATCCAAGGACATATCTATACAGTATTGTGAAACATGATGTTTGGCTTGGCTGATAAGCATACATGTTGGCAGAAATGTTGTAGATATGGCTTCTATGGAAATAAATGGGAGCTCTTAAAACAAACAAAATCCCACCCTTATCTGCCATTATATTTTGAAATTTGCACTTTAAAACAATAGTACAGTGGTGCCCCGCAAGACGAATGCCTCGCAAGACGGAAAACCCGCAAGACGAAAGCGTTTTCCGTTTGCGAGTTGCTTCGCAAGACAAATTTTACTATGGGCTTGCTTCGCAAGAAGAAAGCCCATAGGGAAATCTCCGTGGACCTCTTTTAAATGCTGGCGGTGGGGAGCAAAGCCTTTTCCCCCCCCTCCAGCCTTCAGAAGAGGTCCAGGAAGGCCGGCGGGGGCCAAAAGACTTTGCTCCCCACCGCCAGCATTTTAAAAGCAGTCCGGGATAGCAGGGAAGCGCTTCCCACTATCCCGGACGGCTTTTGAAGGCAGGCGGGGGGGAGCAAAGACTTTTGCCCCCCGCCGGCCTTCAGAAGAGGTCCTGGACCTCTTCTGAAGGCCGGCGGGGGGCAAAAGTCTTTGCTCCCCCCTGATCTCAGCGCCCGCAGGCGTCGGCATGCTGGCAACTCTCCGCAAGCAGCGGGAGCGCTCCCGCTGCTTGCGGAGAGGTCCGCGAAGCCTGTCCCGGACGGCTTTTGAAGGCAGGGGGGGGGAGCAAAGACTTTCGCCCCCCGCCCGCCTTCAGAAGAGGTCCTGGACCTCTTCTGAAGGCCGGCGTGGGGCAAAAGTCTTTGCTCCCCCCTGCCTGCCTTCCCGGGAGAGCGGAGAAACGCAGCACGTTTCTCCGCTATCCCGGACGGCTTTTGAAGGCAGGCGGGGGGAGCAAAGACTTTCGCCCCCCGCCCGCCTTCAGAAGAGGTCCTGGACCTCTTCTGAAGGCCGGCGGGGGGCAAAAGTCTTTGCTCCCCCCTGATCTCAGCGCCCGCAGGCTTCGGCATGCTGGCAACTCTCCGCAAGCAGCAGGAGCGCTCCCGCTGCTTGCGGAGAGGTCTGCGAAGCCTGGGCGCGCTGATCTCAGCACGCTCAGGCTTCGGCATGCTGGCAACTCTCCGCAAGCAGCGGGAGCGCTCCCGCTGCTTGCGGAGAGGTCTGCGAAGCCTGGGCGCGCTGATCTCAGCACGCTCAGGCTTTGGCATGCTGGCAACTCTCCGCAAGCAGCGGGAGCGCTCCCGTTGCTTGCGGAGAGGTCTGCGAAGCCTGTCCCGGACGGCTTTTGAAGGCGGGGGGGGGAGCAAAGACTTTCGCCCCCCGCCCGCCTTCAGAAGAGGTCCTGGACCTCTTCTGAAGGCCGGCGGGGGGCAAAAGTCTTTGCTCCCCCCTGCCTGCCTTCCCGGGAGAGCGGAGAAACGCAGCACGTTTCTCCGCTGTCCCGGAGGGCTTTTGAAGGCAGGCGGGGGGGGGGGAGCAAAGACTTTTGCCCCCCGCCTGCCTTCAGAAGGGCGGGGGGCGAAAGTCTTTGCTCCCCCCTGCCTGCCTGTCCCGGAGGACTTTTGAAGGCAGGGGGGAGAGCAAAGACTTTCGCCCCCGCCCGCCTTCAGAAGAGGTCCAGGACCTCTGGACAAAAGTCTTTGTCCCCCCTGCCTGCCTTCCCAGGGGCTTTTAAATCGCCCCGGACAGCGGAGAAGTCCTCCGCTGTCCAGGAGCGATTTTAAAATGCCGCCCGCCAGCATTTTAAGATCGCCCCGGACAGCGGAGAAGTCCTCCGCTGTCCCGGGGTTTTTTAAAATGCTGGGGGTGGGAAGAAAAGCCCTTGTCCCCCCCCCAGCCTTCAGAAGAGGTCGGGGGACAGACTGTCCCCAGACCTGGTCTGAAGGCGGTTTCCATAGGAACGCATTAATTGATTTTCAATGCATTCCTATGGGAAACCGTGCTTCGCAAGATGAAAAACTCGCAAGAAGAAAAAACTAGCGGAACGAATTAATTTCGTCTTGCGAGGCACCACTGTATCAGGATGCTTCCTCAAAAACCCTTTGGCACAGGAAGACTTTGAATCTCCCTACTACTGGTTCTGTAACTGTAACTGTAACTAAGGCAGACTTAGAAATGAAATGGAGTGCAGTTCACAGCCACTGTTCATTTTACCAAGCAAACACTGACTTTCACTGGCCTCTCATAAAAAAAGTAAAGGACCCCGACCGTTAAGTCCAGTCATGAACAACTCTGGGGTTGCGGCGCTCACCTCGGTTTACTGGCCGAGGGAGCTGATGTTTGTCCGCTGACAGTTTTTCCGGGTCATGTGGCCAGCATGACTAAGCTGCTTCTGGCGGAACTAGAGCAGTGCACGAAAACACCATTTACCTTCCCGCCGGAGCGGTACCTATTTATCTAATTGCACTTTGATGTGCTTTTGAACTGCATGGTTGGCAGGAGCAGGGACCGAGCAACGGGAGCTCACCCAGTTGCGGGATTCAAACTGCCGACCTTCTGATCGGCAAGTCCTAGGCTCAGTGATTTAGACCACAGTGCCACCCGCGTCCCTCCTGGCCTCTTATACATAGGATTAAATAAATGCCTGCAAAAACTTTTACTACCTGCTCTCTCTGATCCATATTAACAGGTCCTTACAACAAGGGAACCTGCAAATCACGTACTCCCAATCAATGGAGAAATATATAAATATAATCTTTTAGTTGGACATAAGAGGTCGGCTCCAGCTAAATTGGTTAAAAAGTTCCATTGATGTCAATGAGAATTGTGCAATTAACTTAGTAATATACTTTTCATTTAAATTATGACTTTCATAAGTAAGCTGGACCAAGAAAATAAAAGCTTGTTCACTTTATTCTGCATAAGCCATATGGATTATTCTCAGGAAAATAAACAGAAGCTAATAATAATAATAATAACAATAATAATAATAATAATAATAATAATTTTTTATTTATACTCGCCCATCTGGCTGGGCTTCCCCAGCCGCTCTGGGCGGCTTCCAAAAGAATATTAAAATACTATGATACATCAAACATTAAAAGCTTCCCTAAACAGTGTACAATCATGTCAATGGTGAAGGCAGATGGTAGAGTAGTGTTGGGGGCTGCAGTCCTGAAGAGTGGAATTCCGAAAGCAGCAGGTATGAAACGGAGCAAGAAGAGAATTTCCTAGTGGATGTACCATCTGGATCACACAGGATTGAGAAAATACACTTTGTATACTTGGATAAAAAACTTTTAGAGCTATAAACCAAAACAAAGAAGTCAAAGTCTTCCCTCTTGAAGATATAACCTGCATGGCTATTGGGGAATTTAAAAATATAGTTGAAATGAGCCTTTATACTGTTGTACACCACCCCAATCTGAGTGGTGCAAGATTACCAAACATTCAAAAAGGAAAGATATAGTAGTCATAGGGGACTTAAATTACCCTGATTATCTGTTGGGACACACACTCGGCAAGAATGTAAGGTCCAACAAATTCCTCAATTGCCTTCTTCATTTCGCAGAATGTGGAAGAAGCATCAAGGGGGTAATCTCTCTTGGACCTGGTCCTCACCTACAAGAAGAAACTAATCTATAAAGTGGAAGTACAGAGAATCTTGGGAGGAAGTGATCACGTCCTCTTGGGATTCATTATACACCGGCAAGGTAAAATTAAGTACAGTTGCGCATGCACTCTAGACTTTAAGAAGACTGATTTCAGAAATGAAGCTTACAGAACTACTGGGTGAGGTTCCTTTGTCCGAAATACCCAAAGAAAATGGACGTCTGAGATGGACGGGAGTTTCTTAAAGGTGAAATACTGAATCCACACAATTCCAACAAGAAAGAAAGAAGAGTGAGAAGCACCTAAGAAAAACAGTGTGCCTGCATAAGGAACATATAGATGAGCTGAGAAGAAAGAAGGGAATGTGTAAGAAATGGAACAAAGTAGAAATCACGAAGTAGCCTACAGTTGTAGGAAGGTCAGGCAGGCCAAAGCTCAGACTGTACCCTGGCTTGCAGGGGCTTGGATTAGATGACTCTCAGGGTCTCTTCCAACTATACAATTTATGATTTTATTAT